CTCACACACACACACACACACACAGCGCAGGGACCCGGATGGAACGCCCCGCCCCGCCCCGCCCCTCTCCGGGCAGCCGGGCCGCTTCGCCGGTAGCATCGCGCATGCGCCTCTCGGGGTGGTGGGGGGGCGCCCCGCGCTGGGAGCTCGGCGGCTTGTGAATGGGGGGTGATGGCGGGGTGTACGACAGCACGGGAGTGTGAGAGAGCGTGTGAGCGTGTCTGTGTGTGACAACATGTGAGGGTGACAGTGTGCGTGAGAACATGTGAGTGTCTGAGAGCATGAGCGTGCGTGCGAGACCCTGAGTGTGAGAGCATGAGTGTGCATGTGAGACCGTGAGCATGGGAGAGTGTGTGTGTGAGACCCTGAGTGTGTGTATCTGTGTGTGTGTGTGTGAGCATGAGTGTGTGTGAGCGTGAGTGTGCATGTGAGACCGTGAGCACGTATGAATGTAAGAGTCAGTGCGTCTGCGTGTGCATGAGCATGTCAGCGTGTGAGACCCTGAGTGTGTGTATCTGTGTGCGAGCATGAGTGTGCATGTGAGACCCTGAGTGTGTGTATCTGTGTGCGAGCATGAGTGTGCATGTGAGACCCTGAGTGTGTGTATGTGTGTGAGCATGTGTTTGTGAAAGCATGAGTGTGCATGTGAGACCCTGAGTGCATGTGAATGTAAGAGTCAGTGCGTGTTCATGAGCATGTCAGTGTGTGTGAGACCCTGAGTGTGTGTCTGTGTGTGACAGCATGAGTGTGTGTGACACGCTGAGCATGTGTGAATGTGCATGAGTGTGAGTGTGTGTGCATGAGCATGTGTGTGTGCGTGAGCATGTGAGTGTATGGGAGACCCTGAGTGTGTGTGATGTGAGGGTGAGAGTGCATGTGTGAGAGGGTCAGTGTGTGTAATGCATGTGTGTGTGCAAGCATGTGACAGCACGTGTGCATGAATGTGTGTGAGAGAGTGTGTGAGCTTGTGAGGGAGCATAATTGAGTGTGTGAGAGAGCATGTGAGTGAGCGTGACTGTATGAGCCTGTGAGCATGAGTGCATGCAAGCGTGAGCAAGTAATGTGTGTGTGAATGTGTGAGAGCATGACTGTGTATGAGCATTAGTGTATGTGAGTGAGCGTGAGAGCATGGCAGCATGAGTGTGAGCGTGTCTAGGGCACACACAGAGTGCAGCAGCGCTCACCAGGGTGCCGTGGGAGCCCAGGGATCCTTTCAGGGGTGTGCAAGGCGCCACGCAGCGTCAGCTCGGTTCGGCATGCAAACACAACTCACGCGACACACCCAGCGGTTCCGCATCCCGCCCAGCCTGAGTTCTTTGCAACAGAAGAATCGCGCTGGGCTTGCCAAGGAACGAGCAGTAATGAAGAGCCGGCGTTTTCCACGGGCGGCTTGGGCCGAGCGACGGGGCCTCGAGTCTGGAGAGCTCGAGAGTGAGCGTGTCCCCAGCGGCTGGACGCCAGCTGTGCCGTGCCAGGAGGTTACTGCTGCTGCTGAGCTGTGCGTGCTGCCTCGCTTATCCTGGTCTCTAGCGTCTGCGCTGGGATGCTACCTACCTATGGGTAAATCTGATCTTTGTATCATCAAAGACTTTCCGTATGTTGAATGAAATGCTCGTCTTTTCCTCATGATAGATTGGGGTCTTCTCTTGAAGGCATGGCTCTGTTTTTATTTTAACATACCAGGCAGTAGGGCTGTGAAAAATTTTGCCGGGTGTGTCGTTTCAAAGCTGTTTCGACACGTTTTGAGCTCAAAGCGGCGAAACCGAAACGAAACAAAAAACTTCGAAACAGCTTCGAAATGAAACGAGGGCACTCGAAACGTTTCGAAAGTTTCCAAATGTTTGAGGTGCAGTTTCCCAGAAACCCCTGCACCTATCTCCTTGAAACTTGGCAGGCTTCATGCCCTTGGAAGGGGCTACCGGCCCTGCAATTTTTATCTGAATCAAGCAAAGTTTTAGGCATTTTCATGATTGCCCATTATAGCCTATGGGCGAAATGTCAAAACAGTTTCAGTGAAACAAAACAGAACAGCGCTTCGAAACGAAACACTGTCCCTTCGAAACGACGAAGCGAAACACTGTCCCTTCGAAATGACGAAATGGAAGTCGAAATGAAACGGGGCTGTTTCACATAGCTCAACCAGGCAGATGTTCGGTGTATGGTAACTTGGTTAGACCAGGTTCTTTGGGTAAATGTGATATCTTTCATTAGACCAACTCAATAGCTGAAAAAAATGTTTTTTGCAAGCTTTCGGGCACAAACACCCTTCTTTAGGCATAAGGAGAGCCTCAGGAAGGGTGTTTGTGCCCAAAAGCTTGCAAAGAACAATTTTTTCCAGCTATTGAGTTGGTCTAATGAAAGATATCACATTTACCCAAAGAACCTGGTCTGCCTGTGTCCTTAGATCAACGTGGCTACAACCAACAGCCCCCGAAACATGATAATTTGGTAGCATTTCATGGGCGGTGTAACTTTGAGATTCTGGGCAAGTCCCTACCTAGTACAAGTTGAAGCCACATTCTTTACCCTATATGAGATAAAAAAAGGTGGGACAAACCCATCGGTACGTGTATGCGCAGTAACCCTAGACCTCATACCAACAACAAAGGGAACAATGGGAAACGTGCCCCGAGCCTCACGCAATCGTTATGCTTTGACAGCCTCATTAAATCACACGATGTAACTAAACGTGTTTTCTGAAGGCAGCTGATGTTTTATTGCATCACAACAGATTTCCAGAGGGAGTGGGAGAAGTCAACAGCACGGAGACTTTCGGAGCAGTGCATCAGCATGATGTCACTACGCATGGGTGTGTGGGACAGCAAATACCAGGGTGGGAAGGAAGGAAACTGCCTCCCTTTTAGCCAGTAATAGTTACCGTCCTTCTCTGATGGCTCTGCTCACCCTCAAAACATTGCTTGGATGGAGAGGCTTTCCCAAAGGCCTAAGTGGCATTTTGCCTTTTTCCTGCAGCCAGTTCTGCACCCTGTTTTTTGCCAGTGCATCTGGGCTTCCCAGTCTTGCCTACCAGTTTGACCACTCTTCCTCTCCTTTTGCATTCTCTGCATAGGGTTGCCAAACCTCCAGGATTGCCCTGGAGCCTCCAGGAATTACACATAAATCTTCAGGAGACTGCTGAGAGTCACCCGGGAGATAAATGATAGGACATTCATTAAAATAAATATGAAATGTTGAATCTGATTTATACAGATGTCCAGTGGGTTTTTAAAATGTAACAGTGATGTGCATTTGCATTCCTGAAAGTCATTAATGGCATTATGTTGTGTGGTGAAACCTCCCGGAGTAGATTCAAACAGAGCTGACAACCCCATCTGTGCAGCAGGATGTCCCAGCAGTGATTCCCACCTGCCCGGGGTTACTGCTTTTTCTGCCGTTGCTTTCCCAGAATGCATTGCCCTTAGTGTATCATGGACGGTCTGGATGCCTAAACATGGTTTAACTGCATATGCGGACAACGTGGCTGCAGCAGAGGCGCTGTTTAAAACCAATGTTTTAGCAGGCTTGAAAGAGAAGTTCAAATTCCCCGCAAAATCCTGGTAATGCAGTGAAGGGCGAACGCTAGTAGCATACACATGGTTAACTCTGTTGGGTTTAACAGTCCCCTGTCCAGCCAGATTGATGGTAGGACTCAGAGTATATCTATACAGGCTCCGTGGTTGCTTGTGCCGCTCTTGAGTTCTCTGTCTCCGGAGGCCTTGAGAAGGGTGGCCTGCTCGGAGCATCCTCATGCCATATTGGGCTGGGGCATGAGGAACAGCAGCAGGTGAGCAGTTTTTGGCAGCAACCTCCAGGGCAGCACGAAGCCCATGCAGACATCCTATCCTTTTTTAATCTCGGAGCTCTTCAGTCATAGATCTCCGGGCAAACCTTTCCTGCTCATTGGGGTTTTTTAAATCAACAACAGGGGAAAGCTAAGGACACTTGAGTGCCCCTTGGAAATAGGTAAGATGTCTCCTGTGCAAGGAAGGTAGGGTCCTTGTGTGCAGGCACGCGCCTTCGGAGAGCAGTGAAGGAGTTTGCCATTGGGCTTGCTTTTGTGCTGCAAGAAAACATGTTCACTAGGGTTGCCTTGGTTTCAGTTAAAGACAGAGATCAACTTGGGCAAGTTTAAACACAATTCCTGATGGTGGCTTCCAGCTATCGGCAGCAATAGGAAAATATCACACACTCCAAGCCAGTGTTTCTCAATCCTTTTAGATTCAAGGCACCTCTCAGAAAATGTTAGCTCTTGGTTTTGACTTATTGCTTGGCTACCGAAAAGTAACTGAACGATTCTTCTGTTGCAGACAACTCAGAAAGACCAGAATACTTTTAAAACTATGAATTCCTATTTGAAATCTCTGGGTTTATTTTGTGAATTGTATTTGCCAACCCAGCAGTGCTAACATTTGGGGGATCTCAGGGCACCCCAGGATGCTGGGCGAGAGAAGAAAAGAATGAATGAAATCGGGGCTTTTTGTTTGACTAAGGCAGAGGCATTTTGGTTCAGTTCCCAGCTCTGCCGCACACGGGCTGCGTGGCACCGAGCAACTTAATTATAGTTTCATGGATGTTAGGGTCAGAAGGGACCTCAGTAGATCATCGAGTCTGACCCCCTGCCGTGGGCAGGAAAGAGTGCTGGGGCCAGAC